GCAGGTTTAACACACAGAAGCATTCAGAAAAACATAACACACATTCTGACCTACGGTCGGTTTAAAATCAGTATTCGACCAAACCCCGTGCATGTTTTTGGACTTTGGAACGAAGCATGAGAACCAGCACAGACACAGGGAGGGCATGCAAAGTCCACAACACTGACTACTTCCATTATTTAAGCCTTAAATTTGTAACTCTGTGATACCATGTGTCATACATGGCTTTTGTGAGTCTTTAAGACCTCAACATCACCAGGTCAATTTTGTTTCTGCTGATAAACCTAAATAAATTGTAGAGAAATATCAGTTGTAGCAAAGATGATCCAAATGGAAGGTTCAATAAACACTCCACTTTAAAAAAATATACATAATTTCCTGGCAATTACCTCATGATTCGGGCTTTACAAGGTTAAGTGATATCATCAGCATCTGACTGGGGTTTCTTCTCTCTTGGTCTCTTACTTTTTGTAGCTATTTATTTTTAAAATTCCACAGAAACACGTGAGGAAGTTAAATGATTAGAGTTTACAGTTTTTGCTGACGATCTTTTAGACGGTTAAGCATGAGTCTATACTTTTTTCAAACCCTAAATCCTTGTTTTGTTTTTGAGGTGTTTTTGCATTGTTTTGTTTGTTCTCAGCAGTTTTTCTCTTTGAATAGTTTGCTATCTAAATTTGAGTCTAAATATCTTCTGACTTTCCTAAATTTATAGGCTTACAATGCCAGCGGCATCATCCCAGAAGATCAGGTTCAGATCTTAGGAGCAATGTCCCGTAGTGCCACAATGGAAGACATCAACATGTGGAATATTATTCAGATCGACACACTCGCTTCTTTGATGGATGCTTCAAACGGGCCGTGGGACCCGGTTCTGGTGAGCAAACAGAAGAAAAAATCTGAACGTGAGCTTACTTTACATGCTTGTGTCTTCACACCGATGCTTGGTTCTCCTCATCAAGGCCAAAGCCATCATCTCCAAGTATCTGAGTGTAAAGGGGAACAGTCTCGGCAGTGTGGAGCTCAACGTCTTTAGAGGACCAAACCTGTGCGCCCTGGATGTTGTTGTTATCAGGAACATTTCGGTTGGAAGCATCAAGTAAGGCGTCAGAGCTGTGACTGTGCATGAGTGTGTGTGTGTTTGGAGGTTATTTTTACATCACATTAGCAGCAGGTAATATCTGACCAAGAACATGTTGGCTAAAGGTCTGTCAGGGATCCTGTACTTACAAAGGCAGGTGAACCCACATAAATCTCTAAATTATTATTTAGATAACTAGAAAAAAAAGTCTGATTTAATGATAAATAATGTTATATGAATTCCATAAACTCAACACACCATTCCTGTGTGTTTTATCTCCTGCAGGAACGCCGATGCCCTGGACATATCCAGCTGCACCACTGAGAAAAAGCAAGAACTGTTTTCTCTCGCATATAAAGCATTTATCCCAATCACCCGCTCAAGCACTATCTCCACTTCCAGTTACCAGCTCATACAATCTTACCTACGTAAGCAAACAGACCCACATTCACAAAAAGCATCATTTAAACAGCTGAAAGTTAACGTACCATAAATTTTTTTCCATTCTTGCAGCGGGTGCAGATCTTAGGTTTATCCAAGACTTAGTGTCTGCCAATATCAGTATGGACCTCCCGACCTTCACTGGGCTGCTTGAGAGTGTTATACAGGTCAGTGCTGCATGTCTGCACTTTGAATTCTGAATTTTAGACTAATTTTGAAAAAAAAAAAAGTTTATTTATTTATGTATTTGTGGGTTGGGGGTGGGGGGGTCTTGCATTATAGTTCCTCAATTTATTTACTTCGCTCAAACCATTGGACAGGCCTGATAAGTTTTAAAACTAAATTGTTTTTCTGTCAAAGATTAAAGTAAGTGTGTTTATTTGCTCATAGGATAAAATGTGTCTGCTCTGTTCTCCATAGAACCTGACTGTTAGTGATGTTAAAGGTCTTCTTGGCACCAACCTCCCACTTTTGAAGTCATATGAAAATGTGACAGTGGTGCAAACCTGGATCAGTTCACAGTTTCAGTCTGAACTTAATGGCCTGGGAGTGGGGCTTACAGGAGGCAAGGTTAGCACCACCACCACTACACCGGGTACATCATCAACAACAACATCAGGGACAACTTCAACAACAACATCAGGGACAACTTCAACAACAACATCAGGGACAACTTCAACAACAACATCGGGGACAACTTCAACAACAAAATCAACAACTGGATCCAACAGCACCACGGGTAAGTATTACAAAAGGTAGCATTGGGTTAAAACATTCAAAGAACAACACCTCAGATAAAGCAGCAGTACCACATTTCAACATTTAATATAGCACACTGTCTGCACATAGAGCATTCTTGTGCAGGAAGAGTGTGGGCAGGAAGGGATTTGTGTTACAAGAAGTAAAGGAAACCAAAATAAAGCATGAAAACATGAAATGTTAAGCTAGCGGTGGACCTTCTGCTGCAGATGAAATCTTTCAATTGCTCATTTTAAGCATTTTTGTCTCATATCCTGCTGTTTTGTTACGAGTATGTAAAGATCATCTTACATCAGAAGCACTGACAAGAAAAAAAACAAAACAAAAAACACATTGGTGGTGAAAGGGAACTTGGTTTTTACTTGCGAGATCTGCAGTGTGATTAATGATGGCAGCATGAAATACAGTAAATACTTAATATTTTCATATTATAAAAAAAATCCCAAGTCAGAAAAACTAGTACAAGCGCGCACTACAGCTCTGAATACAGCAAACTTGACATATTGATAGTGTAAAGATCACAACTTGATATGAAAAATGACGATATTAAATATTTGGTTGACTACATACCACTGTTGTGAAATGAAAATGATACATTTTTAAATGGTGTTATAGGTGCACAAACACTAAGAACCATCGGTATGTGGCTGCTAGGCAACATGATGACAACAAAAGACATGATGTAGATAAGAACCTTAAAGGGTCTGAGTTGTGCCTGTGTGCCCATTTTAGCTACTCAACTCCTGATCATGTAGGAATTTGCAGACAGACAGAGATTTGGTGTATCATAGTAAAATTTTCTTTATATATTTTTAATGGTGGACAGTTGTTTTGCATACTATGCAAAATATTGTTCTACCTTTAGACAGAATTGGACCATATAAATAAATAAATTATAAAAGATGCTTAAAAAGAACCGGCAGTGATTAATCGAGCAGTGTCAGAGTTTTCTAAAAAGCCCACTTGTTGAGGCTTTTGTGTGGTTGATATGCTAGTGTTCCACAAATAATTCAGATAAAGAAATTAAATCAAGGGCAAAACGTTTTATTGGTCTCTAATGTGACTGTACGTTTCTTTCCAGGCAATGCTCCTCCAGTCCGAGACGCTGGCTTCTCTTTCTTCGCTCTTCTTGTACTCCTCATCACTTCTCAGTATGTTGTAATGTAAAGACAACTTTTCTCATGGAAGATTATTGGAATATGAATTATAAAATGGTAGATAACTGGATAAAGGCTTGAAATAATTTTTTTGTTTTAATTTATCATTAATAGAAGGAAATAATGTTAAACAGAAGGGCATTTGCTTCGTTCCTTGTAACGCTCGCTATGAACAAAATAGTGCAGGTGCAATAAGACAAATTGTAAATGATGTATTTTTGATTACTAAATCTTCCTGAAACCTTTTCATGAACTATTTCTAAGGTCATATTTTTGCCTTAATTGGTTTCCAATTTTTTTATTGCTCCATTTAAATTAAGATATTTAAAAGAATGAGGACTCAACAGAAAAATGACAGGTTCGGGTGACGGGTAACAGTTTTCATGATAGCTCTTTCTTTATTCAGTCTTACTATGAAAATGTATTTGAGAGATCAATAATAAACACATTTTAAACAGCCTTAAAACAGTCATTGGAGCTCGTTATTTGGTGTCAGTGTTTTAATATTCAAAGGTTTTGAGAGAGAAATTGTTAAAAAGGTCACCTAATTTCATTTGTACACCAACAGCAAATTAGTCACGAGATTATCAGTTATTCAATTATAAGGAAATGTTCATTAGTGTCACCTTTTGTAAGTGTGTTTTGTTTGCAAAAAGCCATGTATAAATTGATGCAGGTCTTTGAGTTATAAGCGTTTATACACCCCAAGTACAGTCTTGCAGATAGGACAGGTGTGCTTGGCATCCTTCAGGCGGTCCACACAGAATGGGATGAGGCAGCAGCCTAAAACAAAGCTGGAAATGACAGCAGCGATGGTCAGATTTATTTACTCATATCCTTTTTATTTTCTTTTTTTTTTAACCTTCAAAGATCCATTCATTCATTCATTCATTCATGTAAGGTCATATTTTGTCACCATATCAGGACATGTGGCAGCAGATATCATATTTCAGTTTTTGGACATACTTTTCAAAAAACGAAATTGTCATTTTTACATTTATCAGGTCCGACAGATTCAAAACAGCTAGGATCAATTAAAAATGTATCCCAAACAAGAGCTTGGACCTCAGTTTAAAAGCAAGTATCTGCACATGTGCATCCAGCCTTTGTGTATTTTTCAGTCAGTTTCTCGTAATTACGCTTGGTTTATTTTTAGCAGCTAGTTTAAACATGCTGGCCCACTGGTATGATGCCACAGCTGTGACAAATAAAAAACATAGGGACACCAGTAAACATGCAACCATCCACAGAAGAGGAATCACCTTTACTTCGCCAGGGTTTTCAACGTGTGGTGCTCACTTTAAAAAAAAATATTGGCACACCAACAGAAGTTTAATAACTAAAACCAAACATCTCCTTCTTCTTTCTATCACTGCACCACCAGCTGTGGCACTGTGGTGCTATAGCAATGTTTTTAAGTCTTAGTGTTATTTCAGTATTGTGCACGTTGGCATAAATTTTAATATGCACATAGTGGGAGAGTAATTCTACATCACTCAGTAATTTAAGTAAAACAACATTGAAGGATTGATCCAACTTGCATATCTGCAGCTGGAGGCTGTTAGCTTAGCTTAAACAGCTAATGCTATTGTTTGCTCTCCCTATGCATTCATGTACTAAACAACTAGAGGAATTACAGGAAAGATTCCTTTAAGATGAAATGAATAGGATCAGACTAGCATCAGATTCCAGCACCAACACTGATCTAAAAAACACTGTATCTGTGAGAGCTCAACGGCTTGACAGATTAATACCATCCATTGCTAAAAACTCACTGCAGTGACATTAATCTTTAGTCCAGCTTTTGCATGTTTTCACTTCCAAACGGTTTCCATGAGGTTTTCCAGCCACACTGTGAGGAGCTGTATGAAATCTGTAAAATTATTTTATTGGCATAGTGAAGCAAACAATGCTTGAACTATTCTTACCCACAGAAGAAGAGCCCTCCACAGAAAATGTAAGTGAGCAAACCAGCAGAGTAGTCCACCTTGGAGAGGACTATCTGATGGCAGTTAGGACAGGCGATCTGAACCGGGCTGTCTCCCAGTGGACCGACCGTAGCTGCAGAAAAACAAGGATAGAGAGCACCAAAAGAGCAAATGCAAAAACAAATCAGGTTTTTAAATAAAATCACCAGAAATTAGAGCTCAGCTTTAAGAGTAACACGGACTACATAAATACAGACTGTATGGCACAAACTCACCAACAGGAACTTGTGCATTTGCCATTTTTCCTGTGTACACACATTAAAAAATGTGCATTTCAAGATAAAAACTTAAGAAAATGATCAAAGCTGTCCTAAATGTAAAAAAAAAAAAAAAGTCTGAATAACACAAAGATATTCAGTGTTAGACTTGATCTGTGAGTTAAAGCAGAGTACTTACAGTTTGGGGGGGGGCAGGATATGTGACCACAGCGAGAAGAGGTTTCAGTGCAGAGCTGAGAGGGCTACCTTCACCGTCAGCCTCCTTTACTTAATAAGTCATGAGATCCTTGGACTCTCAGTGTGAGCCTCACTGACCCAGCCCTAACCCAAGTACTTTTATACCCTTTTTCTGACTACCATCAGTGTAGTCTTATTCCTGTCTACATGCAGTTCTGCTGCTACACCAATAACTTGGTGTAGTGTTGTAGTGTATCTGTAGTGTATCATATCTGCTGCAAA